CTGTTAATCACAAACACGGCTGTTTGTCTACAATCCCTCAAGGATAATAACTACTGCATAAATAAATAACGTTAGAATTCATGGTAACATTGCTTTTATTTGTCAATAGATGAAGCTAGGCAGTAATTGAAAGTATTGTAAGTATCTATACAAATTTAGAAGTGGTTCGCTTCAAAATGACTGTGAATCCTGAAAAATGTCAGCTAATATCGATAGTCCCAGAGTTATATTTCTCATTTAATCTTAAAAATTGTCAGCTCGAAGCGAAGATGGATCCAGGGAGGGTCACGGGGGGGTAACGGGGGAGTCATGAATCCCCCCCGGGCTGAGTCCAGGACCTAGGTGGATTACTAATTAAAATTGTAATACATAATGTTTTTATATAATTTTTGTCACAATATAGGACTCTTCTCAGAGTCTAGACAACGGCAACAATGAAACACTAATAACCTTTGTAGAATAGTATCGCTGTTGTAAGCAAGAAGTTTATTTTTTTTTTGGTTGTAAGCTTGTAAGCTACTTAATGTTTTCTTCATGCTATAGACTTGAACCAATTATCTATTATATTCTGTAATCGCAATATCGTCTCGTCCTTATGATTCCTCTATTTAAGCACAAATAATATTAGATCCTAGCTTTACTATACCTATACATGTATGTGTAGTCATACAGCCGTTTTATTACAACTATAAAGTTGTATTCTGAGAATGTGAACTTTATTATTCCATTATTGTCACAAAACTAACTTTATAACTTTTTAAGGCACTGAATGTACGATTCTGAAATTTTACGACCAAGGACTTTTACTGGAAGTAAATATTCGTAATATGCAAAAATTATCGGGAAATGGAACCAGACCAATTTTACGTTATTCGCCTATTGCCCATTGCTAGGCCACCAGCCTTTCTCATAAACTCGAGGGATTAAGTTACTCGGGCCCAAACCGGAATAGCGGTTGCTAACGACTGAAGACCAACGCCTTAAAATTACGCCCTAACGACACTCGGAGTAGTTTAGAGATAAAAAGTTTTTGATCTCTGTTGAAAAAAGTTTGTTCTCTTCTTGTTTGATAATCCCGAAAATTTTTGTTTCGATTTTCTCTACTCAAGACCCCTCAAAAGTTGCGTTATTAGTTGTAGACAATTTTTAAAATAATATATTAAAAGATATCTTACATTTTTATTTAAAAAAATTATTAACCGTCCAGTCAATGTCGCATATACTAATTATTGTATATTACTCCCATTTTCTTTTTTTTAGTTTATTGGTAGTGAAGCCCTAAACTACGATTTGCAGATAATGACAGGATGTTTTCAGTTAGGTATTGGTTTGGATCGAACTCGCAAAATTCGTGTTTTGAATTGTTTTTCTCAAATTCTCTACTTCTACTGTGAGGCAGTTCGTCTCAATTATATTGCAATTTCATTGTTGTAAAGTGTTTGTCTTACATTTTAATAATGGGTTCAAGAAGAAGTGAGACTACCTACTTGTACTATTTTGGGATCTTATAAAGAACTTGATGATCGCCATTTACCAGTGATAAGTGACGTTATCAAATTCATTTGTTTACTAAAAATTAACTGAAACAACAGAAAAATGGGAAAGATCCTTCTAACTCGGAAGTTTTATAATCGTTTCTGAAAAACTTAGTGCAATTCAGACCAAAGCCTTGATTCCCACCGATTACAATGTACAATATATCCAATTCATCATCAGCCCTTTTACGTCCCCACTGCAGGGGCTCAGGCCTTCCTCATGGATGGTTAAGGAGGATGGGCCATGACCCTCCACGCTGGCCCAATGCGGATTGGAGGGTATTAACGGCTGCTAATGCAGACGGGACCAACGGCTTAACGTGCCTTCCGAAGCACGGAATAGCTCGAGATAATATTTTTTTGTCACCCATCCCGTGACCGACCCTTGCGAAAGTTGCTTAACGACAACGATCGCGGGCCGCAGCGCTTATCCACTACGCCACCGAGCTACTAATAGGGATAATAGGGATATCCAATTGCTGAAATCATATTTCGACAAATACCTGTCATTGATAAGATATCCCAAAAATAAAAGAAATTATAGCAACGAAAGCAAAGTGAAGTGTTTTTTAGAATCGTCGAACAAGCTCTTCGATATTGCTGCTTGTAAGTGTTTTCATTTGACATTTGTTCCTACATAAAACCAAAGAAAATTCCTATTTCTGAAAGAGATTTTTTACTGGATATAAAGAAGTGATAGAAAAATGGCAATAAGCGGTATAAACACAAAAGAAACAACAAGACTCTTGAAGAAACATCAGAGACAAGAAAATTTGAAGCGTACATCACAAGACAACCAATCCTGTTCCGGTGCGCGAGTTGCCGCCTCAACCGCAGTCGCCAGCTTTCTCCGAATAGTAACGTACTTGTAAATGAAACTCCATCTACTTCACTGAATCGGAACACTCTAGCGCTGCCAACAGTAGCTAAGGTATGTGATCGGTATGAACTATCAACGCGATCTGCTGCTGCGGTCGCTTCGGCGGTCTAAGCTGACGTAGGATTGGTATCTTCCAAAGATCTAAGCCTTGTTATTGATAAGAATAGAATTCATAGAGCTGTTTCTAAAGCACGTACTAGGGCCAGGAAACATATTGATGATGTTTTAGTAGAAAGTATCTACTTTGATGGACGAAAGGACAAAACACTTATAAACGATAAAATAGGCGATCGGTACCACCGCAGAGAAGTCTTGCAAGAGCACATTTCAGTTCTCACAGAGCCGGGATCTATTTATTTGGGCCATACGACGCCAAGTCGTAGCACTACCAAAGAGATAGCCGATTCTATCATATTTTTGTTTGAAAGTCAAGGGTTGAACTTGGAAGAGGTGGTCTGTGTGAGTTGCGATGGTACTGCTACGAATACAGGTTGGAAGGGTAATTCAATACCTGGAATACTATTTAAAGAAACCGCTGCAATGGTGTGTTTTTGAATGTTTCACGCGAATGAATTACCGCTTCGCCATTTGTTAATGTCTCTGGATGGTAACACATCTAATAAGAAAACAGCTAGCTGTTTGTGAAAATAAACCTCTAACTTTTTTTGTGTAGTGGCTGGCAATGTGTCTGAATTATCTGATAATATTATGAAGGAACTAAGTACGTATCAAGTAAATGTGGCATGCTGTGATGACTGGTTCCTGTTCCCCGGAACTAGGGAACCGCCAACCTGGGATGTTGGCGCATTCGAGATTGCTCACTACTGCCAATCGCATACTAAGATTTTATGTAAGTACTGTATCGCCGTCAGATAATTTATAGCTGCTTGTGAACTACGTGGTTAAAGTTTACGCCCCTGTTTGGTTCCTCATCAAACAAAACTTATCCTTTAAAGATGGAACCAAGCATATTTTTCATATGCTTGTGCACTCTCGGTTTTTGCCTGATAGTCAGAGATCTATTGTAAATTCAGTGATCGAAGGAAATGCTTTTTTTGCGCACCCAGAAAAGCTGCTTATTGCAATGTCATTCGACGATAGAGACCACATTCGAAAAATTGCATCTCGCAAAATATTAAAAGTCAGAAAATCAGAACAGTGTAACTCTCGCTGGGTATTTAAAACACCAAAGCTTAACTTCTCTGCAAAAGATTACTTTAATATAATATTTTAGCAAGAGTGCGAGATATCGGAAACACCAATTTTGCGACACATCTCCAAATATGACCTTAGAATGAAGGCTAAAGAACACAGCCTCGAAATTGTTGACTTCCCCTGTCATGGACAGGCAGTGGACAGATATGTGAAAGTAGTGACGGAAGCTTCTCAAGCCAGTTCCATTTTTAAAATAGCCTCTTGTTACTTGTCTTTCAACTATTTTAAACCTTGATTTGACTCATTATTGTACCCATAAATTTAATAAAAACCATTTAAACTTTATTTTTTATTGATTTATAGTTTATGTTAGGAACCCCTAAAAAAGGAAAATCTGAAAAACATCAAGAACCAGAGTAAAGATGACAAACATGTAATTAAATTTTAAGATAATCGCAATATATGTGTCAACACTCAACTTTTGACACCTCTTGCATAATATAGAAATTATTTTTTTCCCATACATGGACGGGACATCCTTCTTTTCAATTGTAAAACAAACGCACTAAACTCTACAACAATCCAGAATATACAGATTTACTTATAATCTGAATTATAAAGTGACTATAAACAATATTATTTTCTTAATTTCTTTATTTAAAGCTTAATAATATAAAACATATTAAAAATTAAAATTTGTTAATATACACAAAACATAAGAAGTAATTATAATTCAAATTCATTTAATTACGAATGAAAAAATTTTAATAATCATTCAGATTTAGTTTAGATTATAGGAAAACCTAAAAGAAGGTTTTTTATGACACTGTAAAACACAGCAAGCTGGAGTTGATATAGTTTAAGTTTTTTTCCTAATTAAACCTCTTTCATTGCACTAACATCCATTAAACTTTTCATTAGATTAAAGTGACATTACAACTTTGACATTATTAGAGATCAAAGGCGTCATTAAACCTTAATGGATGTTCGTGCAACTGATTATAAGGTAGCCACTATATTTCCAATTTATTTATTTACAAAGTTACGCTTTCAGTCTGTTACATGTGTAAAAAACAAATCAATTTGTACAGTATTTTCTGAACAAATCAGCTGTGGCAGATAAATGGATAGACAGACGTACACAGGCATATAACAGAATTCTTCTCCTTTTTTAAATTCAGCAATCAGTTTGGATCAAAACTTATTCAATACTTTGTAAACCGACAGATAAAAATTAATGTTTCTTGCAAACTTTGTTTAATAATAACTAATTAATATAATCATTGAAAATTGGGTAAAATTGGGTAGGGTGGTATTTTGAAAATTTACAGAATATCATCTTAGTGGATTTTGAAAGTAAACCATTCATTTAAAAACTAATATTAGTTCAATCCTTTTTTGGTGCCTTATTGTAAAAAACTACAACTGAAAATTTGACAAAAATATTTTATTAACAAAAGCTTTCTTATTACAAAATATATAAATGCCTATTACAAAAACCTGCTATTATTTATTACAAATAAACAAGTAGTATTATTAGTTATAACCTCAACATTTTCATAATCTGTATTAGACATATCAATGATACGGGGGCCAGACTACAGAGGCCCCTAACATATGCATAAGCAATAATTTTTACCCTTATTTCCTTTACCTTCAACTAATTTTGAAACAGCGCCCTTCGAAGGCATGTTATGCCACTGACAGACGGATATATTGCAGGTTATATTCTATAGGATACATTCCATACTTATAATTGATTTCTCTAAACTTTGGAAATATTAATTATAAATTTTTTAAATATATTTGACAAAGTAATGTTTTATCTTTAGACAAAGTAAATCCAGTCAAGTTATAAATATAAAAATTGTGCAATATTGTAAAGATGCAAATTATATCTACCAGTTAAGTTTTTAAAAAGTAAGTATTTCAACAAGATTATGCATAAATGATGACAAATATGTACAATTATGACAATTGAAGGTGAACATTGACTTTAATAAATTGAGGTTACAACACTTTCCTTGAATCACCACTTTTGACGCGAGATTGAATATGAAACTATAGTAAATTAATTTTGCTTTGCAAACAGGTTAACACAGGCCATTGTCATTAATTCAAGACTTCACGTTACTACACTTTGATTATGTCGAGCTTGTTGCCGGTGCCGGTGCTGTAGGCGCTGCAGCCACACGCTGCTGCGCCGCAGACAGCTGTGGCGTGCCTGTGGCCAGAGCTCGAAGCTGCTTCTCAGCAGCAGCATTCACCATCTTCGTAACGTTGTTTTTAATCTTAGCGTTAGCTACTGTTTTACTTTTAACAGGCGCGTTACTTCGTTTAGTTACCGCTTTTCCTTTTGCCTTTTTTACTTTTGCTCCAGAAGGCAACTTGCTTTTTACTTTTAGTTTACCTTGGGCCATAATATAAACATTTATATATTATAATTGTGAAAAATACACGTGAAACTACGCACGAGATGAAATCAAATGACAGTTGGTTGACAGATGACGTTTGTGAAAAAAAATCTATGACATTTGTGCATTGAAAATGTTAGCACACGTTATTGTCGTTCAGAAACCATATTACCTGAGACCAAGCAGACTTTTATTAAAATTCTTGTCTGAGGCCAATCCATTAAATTATGTTTTGATTTAAGAAAGTATTTAGATTATTATGAACAAAAGGGCAATTAAAAAAAGGACGATTCAAAATTTATCACGAAAAAGAGGTCAACCTTGGAATGAGAGATAACAAGCAGTGTAGAGTGGCAATTGAAAGTTGATTAAAAAAAGAACTTTTATTTGCCACTCTTTACACATTGTAAATACAAGTATATAGTAGTCTACGAAAAGGCAGCTTAAAATTTATATTCTATGATTAACTTAATAAATTTTGGAAAATAACTATTAGACTCTATATATATATTTTTAATATATATATATATTTTTAATAAATTTGATTTAAACCGGTTTCAAATCGAAAAGAACGACTAATACATAAATATGTGTATTTTTATTATGTATATTCACCATAACTCAGCGAATTTTAGAACTACTTTCAAAATACTTCATTTATTAGCTTATAAGTCGTAGGTATACAACCGGGATTTAATAAGAATTGAAAGACGACTTTTAAATCGCCGAAATTGATTTGTATACAAAGTAACAGCGTATTCTTTCACTCTGAGGTGAAATATTAATTTCACTAAGGTGCGCACGCTAATTTCAAGGTGTGGTCACCTCTGAGGTCACGGGTTCGATTCCTGGTCAGTGCTTTCCATATTACACAGAACACAGAAAGCGTCAAAGATATCTACGTTATAATTTTTGTCCGCATCTTGAACTGTGCTAAATGTGCACGTTATAATTATATTTGATCGATTTTGCATTTGTGATATCTCATATCTATCTCGTGTGTTCATAAGTTTTAAGACGAAATATAAGTTGCGTAACTTTTTTAATAATTAACCTATACTTCTAAAATTTTCAGTAATCGATAAATAAATAATAATCAACAATAAAATATTAAATTGTATAAGACGAGTATTAACGCGACGATTTTGATGATTAGGTTTTTCACCTACCTATAGTTTCCGACGTCTTTTACAATGTAATACTTATAATGCAACGCGAAAGTTTAAAAGTTTATACAACAATAAAATATATATTTCATTCAACATGACCGCCATTCTTTTTAATACAGGCCCTTAGACGATTTGTCCAATCATCAAAGGCGACATGAATCTTTTCCAGCGGAATTCGTATTGCTTCTCGAACAAGAGTTCGCTTCAGTGACTTCAAGTTTGAGTGGGACTTTCGGCATGTCCTGAGCTCTAATTCAATTCATAAAGAATAATCCAGCGGGTTGAGGTCGAAGCTGGCCACTCGCCCGCTGCGATGAAGGCCGGCACATTCTTGCTCAACCAAGCTTGGATGCTTTTTGCCTTATGGGTGGCGCCGAGTCTTGCTGAAAAACCCAATCCTTATTGTGCAATAACGTATCAGTTAAGGGTTTCACCTAAAATGTCTGCTCTAAAATGTCACTCCGATAATTCTTGGCTTTCATCTTGACACCTTGTTGGCAGAAATGGAGCGGAGTGAAGCCTTCATACGAAACTCCCTACCATACCATCACACTAGACGGTTGATGAGTGCGCGAGACATTCCGTGCAGTGCAGAGATGATTTTGATGTTCGCAGACGTCCTCATAGAGCATGGCCGACCACTCTTTTGGCGATCTTGCAGAGAACTTGTCTCTTTGTACCGCTGTATTTTATAATAGACGAAGTTACGGCTTACAGGAAAACTTTTCAGCTCGCGGAAAATTTTCACCGGTTTTTTTCCCGCCTTAAATAGCGAAATGACAATTGAACGTAATTTTTTCGTTCCCTCCATCACGAGAAAATATAGGGTATGTTCCGATATACACTGCGACCACTGAACAGTATGACGTCAATTTAGTATACTGGAAGCCCGTTCCTTTATAGCTAGTTATACTGGTGACTTTTTAAAACGGAACGCAGTCCAGTATACTGTTAATCCTATTTTTTGGCGCCATTTTCAAATTTGTTAATGCAAGGTGAATATAAATATAAAGATTCCCTCTTTTCAAAAGAAATTATTATAAAATTGGAAAATTGTATAAAAAATTATTTATCCATCTTATAATAAACGTAAGTATTTTTTTTTTTGTTTATTTAGAAACTTATCATTTTCTGATTCTGTTTCGACTGATCACGTGATCAAAAGCACTGCGAGCACCTTACCTCGAAATCTCCAGTGCTCACAGTACAAATATGGCGGCAATTTATGACGTCATAAATTTCCCTAGGGTACTGTAGCAGTGTACTGGCAGTCCATAACGGAACGGATTTTTCAGCAGTAAGACCACTGCGCAGTGCTCGCAGTGGATATCGGAACATACCCATAAACAAATTAATTCGCGTTACAAATAAACTAAAAGTTATCATTCCAAATTCAAAATCGGTAAAAAAAAATAGATCCAGTAACGTTTTATTTTATTTTTTTCTGTAAAGTCTGTCTCTAAACCACAGAACATAGATCTCTCTCTATGTTCTGTGCTCTAAACTTTTGTACCACACCAGCCCTTTTACGTCCCCACTGCAGGGGCTCAGGCCTTCCTTATGGATGGTTAAGGAGGATGGGCCATGACCCTCCACGCTGGCCCAATGCGGATTGGAGAGTATTGACGACTGCAAATGCAGCCGGGACCAACGGCTTAACGTGGCTTCCGAAGCACGGAGTAGCTCGAGATAATAATTTTTTGGTCACCCATCCCGTGACCGACCCTTGCGAAAGTTGCTTTACGACTACGATCGCGGGCCGTGGCGCTTATCCACTACGCCACCGAGCTACTCATGAGGTAAAGTTCACAAAATTCACCTCAGAAGGGATTCGAACCTATTAAGTTACGCAATCCGAGACTACTTTAACATGACGTGTTGTCGATTGTATCTTCGTGGTTAGTTTCTATAATACGGTTTACACGATTTTACCTCCGGGAATCGAGCAACAATGTATGTGATACACATTCAGTTGTACCAATCTATATATATAAAAATGAATCGCAAAATGTGTTGGTAAGCGCATAACTCAACAACGCCTCGACCAATTTGGCCAAATCTTTTTTTAAAATGTTCGTTGAAGTTCAAGGATGGTTTTTACGGCGAGAAAAATTAGAATTATTGCTGGAAAAACCCTAAAAAAAGCCCTTTTCTTTTTCCCATACAAATGATTTGTAACTAAAACGTAGTCAATTTGAGCTTTATTGCTATGGTATAAAGTTCATATTAAATTACAAGCACTCACTGTTGTCTAAGCAATGTAGGTGTGTTCCTAACGTCAAAGATCATATCTATCAAAACAATGTGCGTGTGTGCGTTGGAGCATGTATGTTGCCTGTTCCCGTGTTGGAAAACCATCAGATTTGTTTATCTATGCGCCAGGTAATCAAACAAAAAACATCGTATACCACAAAGCACTACAATGATAATAATAATAATTATGATTCACATGATTAACAATAAAGTGATTACTTACTTTTAAATCCTTATATATGTTTTATTTAATTATTTTTTATTCACAACGCCCTATCACCAGGGTGACGGTTCTGTTCAGGAGAATTTTTTTAAATACGTAGGCAAAAAAACTGCCACATTACAAATCTTTTTGACAGGACGAAGTCTGTCGGGTCAGCTAGTATTTATTAAAATTGTCATTACTTTCAAGCGACATTTGGTCAGTTGCACAATGTTGCAGTTGCAGAATGTGAAATTTGTATTGGATGTCGCTTTACAAGTAAGCTATTACTGATACACATATGACAATTATTAGAGCTTAAAGGCGTCATTAAACCTTAATGGACGCTTATGCAACTGACCGACAGTCTAATATTTGTTCACTTAATTTAAAAAAGGTGTTCCACAAACGTATCTGGCAGTCTTTTTCATCATCGAGTATTTGCTTTTTGACCCAGAGAAACTACCAATCTCACTATATTGACAAAACATGAATAAAACTTTGTAGTGTTGTTTGTTAACAGGAAGAACTTCTTTGATTTTAAAAACTGTTTTTTACTAAATTATAGAAAAGCATATTTGGATTTTCCACCATAAGCTCTTTCATTTGACGTGCCACACAATATATCTTGCTATGTTTTTTTTATTTACCTTAAGTTTTTACAATTTTGAAATCCATACTTGTTACGGACGCACGTCTCGTCGAGTTGTATATATTAGATGATCTTAAGTAAATTATATATAATAAGTAAGTTTAGTTAAATGAATGTGGTTAAAGCTTAGAATTAAATGATACAACCTATGGGTGTATTTATTCCCCTAGTATTAAGATAATTTAAGTTATAGCAAATTAAATTATTGTGAGGGGTTGGATTTTATTTGATATGGTTTTCTATAAGGTATTGCCTCGCTAAGGAGGCTTAGGTAGCTCTCTGTATGGTATTGCTTCACTCAAGGAGGCTTATGTGGGTTTTCTATATGGTATTGCCCGAGTCAAGGGAGTTTATGTGGGTTTCTATACGGTATTGCCTCGATACAGGGGTGTTTAAAAAGTATAATGTTCGACTACCTTCATGTTAACGATAAAAATGTATCGGAGCGAGACGGCGCTGGTTTACGCGGGATCTTCCGTCTCGCTCTGACCACATAAATACATCGGGCAAGAGCGCGGCGCGCCTTAGAATGATTATGAGCTTCGACGGCGCGGTCTTGCCCGACACGATACGAGTTATGTAACAATAATATGATGATGTTTTAACGTGATTTATGATGTAAATGTAGAAACAGTAAAACGTAGTAATTAACAATAATGTGATACATAGATGTTAAGGGTGGGGGATGGCTTCGCAAAGTAGAGGTTAGATATGTAATAGGCTAACCAACTGATAATATACGGAGCTAAGTGCGAGCCACCCCAACAAATGTAAGACGGGTCGATTTGAGCGAAATTTGTAAGCTCTCCGGCCCTCAAGATTTAAGAATAAAGAAGAAGTGAAAACCATCGAAGGAAGTTTCAATTATACAGTCCAAGCATCGGCTAGCTACGTGTAAATCTGTTCAAGATCCAGGAAGATCCGCAACAATACTCATAAATAAATTATGATTTCAATAAAAAATCCTTCTAGATCTCCCTTTTCATCCAGTTCGTTTATTTATCTTGTAGTATATTTAATATATAGGTTTCACCTATTTAAATGTCTATCGGTCAATTGCACAAACGTCCATTATGGCTGATTGACGCCTTTAAGGTTTAATGAATGTCAAATTTGTATGGGTAATGTCGCTTTAAACTAATGAAATTTTTAATAGACGTTTGCACAACTGGCTGTATAAGTCAAAGATTTCAGGTATATTTTTGCAACAAACTATAACTTTGGCATTAAAAAGCTTTGATCTATATTTAGATTCATGTTATTAATACCCGACTCTTCAGATACCTTACAAGTATATAGATAATATACCTCACAAGCTTATGTGGATGAGTGGGTTGGTGAAAATGAAAATCGCTTTTAGATATTTTACGGACTTTTATTCGTAAATCGACTGTTGCAGTATATGAATTCGAGTTTCAAGTTTGAGAATATACATAATATTATAATATCTAAATATATTTTATGTACAGATAAATAGAAAAGTAGTCGAGTATAATAATCGGCTATCGATAGATTCGAGCGGCGAGAGTGCAGGCGACCGGCGGAAAGCGGTGCGGACGAGGGCGCACCTCGCCATAAAATGTCTAGAAAAATAGATAAATCGCTCAAAAACGTCAGAATCAGTCGAAAAGATAGAAGAGTTGAGAACGGGCGTTTCGAAGGCGGCCACGGCGTGTTGAACACAAGCCCGTCTCACGCGTACTCAGTGTCCGTGGAGAGCGAGCGCTCAGCAGGCGAGCGCCGCCCGCCCGCTTCCGGCGCCGCCGGCTCACCAGCCTGTGCCTGCGCGTACGCCAGGCTCTTCTGGTAGCTGAACAGCTGCCGTTCCAGCGAGTAGTTCTCCGCCTGCAAGGCGGCGATCTCGCGTCTGAAACCAAACCCACACGTTGGCATGTTTGACTCTCTAAAATTAACATTAAAAAGTTCCATATTTCACACACACACCTCATTTGATGTCCTTGTAGACGACAAAGGTCATCGTAGACATGATAAGTAGCTTGGAAGAGCAAGTATGTGTCGCCCCATTCGAGGCGCACACGAAGTTCTCCGCCCGGATGTAAGAAGGGACACCCGGATCTTGAAACATCTTCGACACGCAACGCCGTTTCCATCATGAGGCCTTCGTCGGCGCTCTCCTGAGCGTAGTAATGCTCGAAGGGTGCACCGGGCAGCTCTTCTGCGTCAGGCTCACCGGGCGCAGGAGCTGCTCGCACTAACCATGCTGACCAGCTGACGTAACGCAAATGGTTTCTAGGCACGTGATGTACGTCGCGGTACAGCATATGTAGACGCACCGACTCCGAGTGCATGTCACATCGCACCGCCCACGCCTGCTTGTCACGATCGTAACAGGTGGCCGCTCGACCGGCCGCAGGCACTGCCAACTCAGCCAATGCTCTGGCCCAGATAAGCTCTACGGTAAGACGCACACCTTTATGCGAGAAACGGGCAGGAGGACGTGGGTTCCACGGCGGCGTTCGTCCGTCGGCGTCGCACACATATTCGAGAGGCCCCGAATGTAACCGCCGCTCTCCTTCACCCAATGCGAGGGCATAACGCACTCGACATCGCTGACCTTCCCCAGAAAGCCGTACTAATCGAAGCGACATCGGTTCTTTATTGCCTCCCGTCGCTGAGACTGACCAATCGAAGCCCGCGAAAGCTATTGGTGGAGTATCGACTCGAGGCGCACGGAGCTCGCAAGAGTAGAGCGTCCGCACCCGGGACATGCTGAGTTCAAGTTGGAATTCGCCGCGCGCATCAGCAAACTTGGTGTTAAGTTCGGCCAGGGAAACACATCGGCCGCGGCCCTGCGCGGCGCATCCCGCACTGAACCGCACTTGCTTGCCGGAAAAGCCCTCATTAGCAGTGAAGTGGTCTCTACTAAGTAACGTGAAAGTGAAATCGACGTAAACGCGCATGCCCTCGCATGCGCCACGCCATACTAGATAAACACCTGTAAAGAAAAAAATATTTTAATAAAGAAAGGCAAACTCTATCTTTTTGCAATTAACAAATTTTCTGCCTTAATCCGGGACTCGAACTCAGATTAAATGTAAAAAAATGGCGAGACCATGTAGCAGATGTTTAAATCGCTCTTCTTTTATTAAGATCGACAAATGATCAAAAAATATGAACTGACCAAGCGCGGTATCTGTCCGACTGAAGGCGACGGCCCAGCGCTGGTGTGCGCAGCAGAAGTCCTTGGAGGTGACGTCGCGGTCGGGCTCGCGTGTGGCCGAGCGCGTCACCACAAACGTGAACACGTGCGTGTCGGCGCGGTCCTTCAGCCGCGTAGCGCGGTACAGCAGCGCCATGCGCGCGCTGCACGCCGGCCCCGCCTGCGCCTACGCCTGCCACAACACAACACTATTTTCGCATTACGATACGATTACATCAAATGTAAATAATAATGTTCTACATACTGAGGTAATTAAACACGACGGTACAGGAAAACATAGAACATTTTATATTGTCTTCACTAGATTATCACTATTATGATTTTTATCAAAAATCTAGACTGATAACAAATAAAAATCAAAGTATTTCACTCAATTATTTAATTAAAATCATTACCTAATATACTAATAACAGTACACAATTTATTAATAGGTACATAAACGTACAATAATACCACAATACCTACACTACTGTAGTTCTATACCTTATATCGTTTCATCTAACCAGACAAAAGCGCCTATAAGCACTTACAATAAATTTAATATTCCCAACAAGTGGCCAAAAGCAATCAAAGCAGTTTTCTTTCAGAGCAATAACGGGGCAATTCACGCCGGAACGGGAGTTAATGGCCTCATTAACCGATGTACCAATTGACGGCATCGTTTACGACTTATTGTAAGAGGATTCGAACTTATTTTATTTTTCGTTTGTAGACCATTAATAGATCGTAACTACCATATAAAATAAGGTTTATTTTATTTAAATACGATCTTGCATATTTTTCTTCATAAAAACTATATTTTTGTCGATATCGGGAGAGGCTCTCTATATCCTTAGGGGCAATCTATAAGACGAAATGTGACATTATAACCTTATTGATTTGAATTTATATAGGCCAGGATTGACAGAGAAGGCGAATTTGATTTATGGATGGCACTTAATAGTTAAAGGTACCGTATTACGGTTACTCGTGTATTGTACTAATGTAATTGACGAAACCACATTATGATAAATGACTATTACCCATCACATGGGTTCCAAGTAGTTTCGTGACTTTTTAACTATATACCATGTAGGTGTTATTCATAGCGCAGAGGAGAACAAGTTCAAACCTTTTTGCAAACGCATCTCAAATCAGGGCTCACCAAGTAAAAAAATAATGATGTGTCATAATGAAACCCTGAATTAATTAACAGGTTGACAGATTTACTGCCAACAAACTAATTAGATTAAACACAAATATCTGGGGTAACACGTGCCATCTAACTCTCTAGCCATTATTGAACCATATGATACGGCACCTTAGCGATGTTATGGCGATATTTCGTTACATTTTACTACTTTGACAATTCTTTTGGTGGATAAATAATAAATAACTTAATTGGTAACACTGCTGTCAAATCCATAACTCTATAGCACTCGTTTGTCGTTATTATGGCCGAAATATAGCAAAATATCGCTAAAATGTCGTATCCTATAATTAGAAAGTTAGGTAGTGGCACCGCCGGTCTAGTAGACAGACCAATTCTGATTAGTATGTTGAGTTTTAATCTGACAGTCTGACCGATCACTCAGAGTTTTGTCATGACAAATCAATCAATTAACTTTTTCGATTCGAACGATTCTAAACGCGTGAATATGTTATTTATCATTGTTATCTTAAATCAATTCAAATGTAATAGATAGACACTTTAAATGTCTCAGATTGTCTCTATTTTCGCTTGACTTTCTCTTTATTTACTAAAGTAATAAGACAGTAAGCAATAGGAGAACCTCTATATAAATGTTTATCGTCGTGTCCCTGTCGAGTGTCACAGTATAAATCAATAACACAAGTGTTTACTAACATGACCCCGTCTGTTAAGATCAATGAGTTCTAAAAATAGTTACGGTAAAGCCTGAGGAACTTCAATATTACTGTGGTGTGACCGTGTCGTATTTCGTAGCTTATTAAGTTTGCTTACAAAAGGCTTTTCTTTATTACATCACCATTGAAATTTATATTAAATATGATATTTATTGGATTATATTGATTTGTAATATATAAAAATAATATAATAACTGATGATATATCTACTTGAGCATCTCAATGGCGACTGAATCAAGCAATCAATCAACCTTCGTGGTTTGTTATTTAACCGAACTCCTTATGTGATAATATACGTAGATAAAACTAAACCAACAATAAGCTGATGATTATTTGAATTTATCTAGCAAAACCTTTTTTTTTATATAAATAAAATGCTCAATTATAAAGGAAACGAACAAAATTATTATTTTTTAAGCAATATATATTAACTAACACCGTTTCATTCGTGAAAAAAGTTTCAAAAACGCCGAATAGTAGACATACGACCTGTTTCTGAATTGAGAATAGTAAAAAATCTTAACTGCTATCAACTGATCATTAAAGAAACTAAAATCAGGAACGAAAACCTGTTCAAGGGTTGTATAAGTGCAGTTTAAGACGCGCTTAACTTTGAATACTCAATTCAGAAACATGGTGATAATATTCTTATTCGATAAAATATTCTGTGCGTGCATCACTAGTTAAAAATGAAAAATTAATTTTAAACACCAAAACAATGCACGTCTAAAATTACTAATTCATATTAATATTTTCTCGAAAAAATAGTAACAGCAGCGAATGAATTAATATTGAAGACGAAAAAGCGTTACATCCATTATTTATATTTATGAGAGACGCCGACACTTTATTGGAAAATAATACGCCAATTCATCTTGTTTGCTCTTTATTTCACGATAAGAAAAATTATAATATTCTATTCTCAGATAATTATAAATTGACGTTAAATTGATCGATACAGTATGGTAAAATATTTTTATGAGTTTCTTTTTCATCTATTTAATTGGAATACTATCTACTCAAACTAATGTATTCTTACAAATATATTCGCATAAATTACGTGTAAACTAAAAGGCTTTCATACGATGTTACTAATGAAAGTCTAACTTTTAATACAAAGTAAATTAGAACTTCTAATAAAGTTTCAACTTTATAACAACAAGAGCATTAAGTACTACAGCTCATGCAAGATTTAAATAAATAATTAATCCGAATAAACTACCATCGCAAAGTTCAGTAATTTAAAACACGACATAAAAAAGAAGCAAGCAAAAATGTTTTAAATTCTGATTTTGTTTCAGTATAGGCACTTGCAATAGGTACAAGCACTTGTGAAGGTCGAAGTCTATACCATCGGCAAAACTTAGATTTTCCACTGAGAAAAACTGCCACAAAACTCAGTTGTTTCTCCATGTTTCATTTCATACAGAAAGGATTGAATTGAAAATGACTTCATTAGAATATGAAGTTTTAAATATGACAAAATACGAGATCGTCTCGAATTTCAATATAGGTTTTTTCTTTTTAGTACCTACTAAATTATGGCATTTGCAATTGACTTGAAGTAAGCTTCTTGTCTTCATAATTTTAATGAAAAATGATCGTCATATTAGTAAAAAATTTAACTTTTTTGTATTTATTTCATTCGGTAAAACTTTATTAAGGACATTCATAAGTGCTTCTTACATAGTAATTTTCTTCTATATGCTGATGACCTAACAATTTACCATAAAATCGAAGACAGTAATGATCACTACATGTTACAGCAGGATCTTGACCGTTTTTCAACTTATTATAAAAATAATAAGTTATCCCTTAGTATTGATAAATGTAAAATTATAAATTTTACTAGGAAGAAGAACATCAGAAAATTTGATTACAGACTATGCAATAACAAACTTGTATTTGCGGAATCAATGCGAGACCTGGAAATCATTTTATACTGCAAACTACACCTAGATTTAGTTAACAGAGCTTTAAAAATGTATGGATGTGTTATACGCTCAAGTAAAAAATTTACACGACCGTCCACATATATATATACATATATATAATATAATCAGTTCCCAATTAGATTATGCTGTACCAGTCTGTAATCCATTTTATAATAAATACAACGATGCCTTGGAAAAAAATCGAAGTAAATTTTTACGCTGTGTACAGTTAAAATGTTATCACAGTTATTTACCTTATTGTAATATTCTAGATAAATACATATGTATATAATATTGATAAGCTTTCTTATAGGCGAATGCAACTTGGAGCAATATTGCTTTATGATATATGTCACAACAAATATGATTGTATCCCAAAAGTTAACAAAATATATTATAAAATACCCACTAGAACACATAGCCGAAATAATCATAATTTGTTTCGGACATCACGATGTAGAACAAATGCTGGTAAGAGATCTCAACTATATCAATTAGTTAATAGTTAATAATCTTATTCTCATTTCAATAATATTGACATATTAGCAAGTAGCCCTAGTAATTTCAAAAAACAAGTTCTGGATACCTTGCCCAAATAATATATATAAGTATTTTTCTGTAATATTGAAAGTCAACAAAGACTGAATATTAATGAATGTATTGTCAAAAAAACATGTTTTTTGATATCTATTTTTTGTTTGGTTCTCTGTTGTTTTAACTTATAAATACATAATTAAATAAACATATGTTTTATGCTTTTGCAAAGTAATCTCAACTATTCTGTCAAATTGTAAGATTTTAATTCTAGTTAAAAAAATTAAAAGCTCTCTTATGGATTTTGGAAAACTTAATGTGCAACTTTGTCTTGATCATGATGTGGTGAACGGTGTTGGTGTACAATTATATCTCATCTGTTATGTTTTGTAATATTATTATAAATTGAAACACAGTTTGTTTACCTCTAAAAATAAATATAAAAAAACCACCGATTCAAACTATTTGATAAAGATGCGAATCTCTAAAAGATTTCACAGCGCAATACCCTAACAACATCGTAACCGTATGCGCCCATAATATGGCTCCGTTGTATCAAATAATTAGTAGACAAGCTGACTTTACCTCTAGAATTAGAGCAATTCAGTATAACCATGCAACACGAAGTGCTCCACTACGTAGTCTATGAGTTTTGAAAACAGTAATTAATGCCGACAAGGAGTTTTCTTTTATACGTTAACTTTACACAAACAAGGTAGCCAGTTGCGATTCAGATGGCTATGAATATTTAACACTGACGCTTGTTATCTTTTGCTCATTGAATGGAAAACCACCGCAAAGTTGGAGGGCTTGCAATATTAAACTGTGTGGTTTATGC